GCCATAAAAAGAACAAAATTTCACCATTTGCAACAACATGGATGGACCTGGAAGGTATAATGCTTAGTGTAATAAGTCAGAAAGAGAAAGACAAATACTGTATGTTTTCACATATATATGGAATCTAAAAAACAAGACAAACAAATATAGCAAAACAGAAATAGACTCACAAATACTGAGACCAAACTAGTGGTTACCAGTGGGGAGAGGTGTTAGGGGAGGGGCAAGATAGGTGAAGAGGATTAAGAGGTACAAACTACTAAGTATGAAATAAGATCCTAGGATGTAATGTACAACACAGGTAATATAATTACTATTTTATAATAACTTTATGTGGAGTATAATCTATAAAAACATCAAATCACTATGTTGTACATCTGAAACTAATATAATATTGTAAGTTGACTATACTTCAAGAAAAAAAGTAGTTCTTTGTATTTCATGAAGAAACTTCATTCACATTATGTCATGTAGTTTTCTCAAAAATCCTAGATATGGCATATCATCCTCATTCTACTGAGGTAAAAATCAGAGTTTGTAGAGCATAATGAGAGGATGTCAGAAATGATGATAGAAAGGTAAAATTCTTAGGTCAGGGAGTGGACGGCTATTCTGAGCATGGTGCTCTAACACTATATGTAATCCCTCTACTTTATTCAACCACCCTATGAGGTCTGATTATCCTCATTTCACAGAGAAAGAAACTGAGGCTGGACTAAAGAACTTCTCTTAAGAAATGGAAAAGCTAGGAAAGGTATTTTTTTTGTGAATCCATCTATATTAAGTCATCTATTAAAGAGATTGACAAAATACACTTCAAAATGCACAGTTATTTTCTCACTTTTTTTGTTTTAGAAAATGTTATTTTCACAAAATGATTTTATTTTATGTTTATGTGCAATGGGTTTATTATTATTTTTAAATAAATTAGTTATTTTTAGACTTCTCATTTTAATCCATAATCCAATAAATTTCAATGGATGTAACTGATGTAGCAAAGCTTTTGGGGGTCCTCAATGATTTCTAAGGATATAAAGTGCTCTGATTATGGTTACTGGTAGGGGGCGGTAGGGGGTGGGATGGGATAAACTGGGAGTTTCTCCCACGTGGACTTGCTTCCCTATATGAGGCATTTAATATTGTCTCCAAAAATGAAATGAATGTTTTCTTTCTTTCCTTTCTTTTCTTTCCTTCCTTCCCTCCCTCCCTCTCTCCCTCTCCCTTTCTCTCTCTCCCTTTATTCCTCTTCCTTCCTTCCTTCTTCTTCCTTCCTT